GGCTGATGGATGGCTCATCTGACAGTTAAACGTGTCCAAGATTCTGGAGCCGAAACGATCAGCTCCCGTCAGCAAGCAATCTCAAACCGGAAGCCAATAGACCAAATCGGGTTTTTGAGCATATGCACTAAAATAAACCCTCCCCCGAAAATATTGTAACACAGCAGCAGCCATGAGGTGACCACACTTGCCACCTGCCTCTCAAAAATAAGATCTCCCCAAAAATAAGGCCAAGTGCTTATTTTCAAAAGACAAAAGAAAATAAGACCCTATCTTATTTTCAGGGAAACACAATAATAAAAAATAAGATAGCATTCCAGATAGCATTCCCATTCCTCAGAATGACCTACACTTATCCTAGCTAAAAATCTGAGCAAAAAGTCAAAAATTCAAGACTCTATAAAACACCAGCAGTGATTATCCAGATTTCAGGAGCAGGGCTCATTCCAGAAGTCCGGTCATGCAACAGAAAATACATATTTCTAGGGTTCCAACATATATTTTTTTCATTCAAAAGTGCCAAGTGGAATTAAATTGGTCAGGAAAATACTATGGAGAATAGATGCTCTGCCAAGTAACCAGATCTTATGCCATTTGGAGGGCTACAGGTATTACAACCATTTAAAAGCAATTACCAATAGCCAGTATACATTCATTTATTTATACATTGATTCACCACCATTTCTGTTTCAGAATTTTTGAAAGTGTGTTGAAACTGTTCTGAATAGTTTTATGTACTTATTAATATTGTTCAATTAGCACTGGACACAGCCATATTCTGGCATGTTTCATTGAATATTATGCTTAGTCCTGGGCTAAAAATATTTCTGAGGTGAGCCATCACTAAATTAATATGAAACTAGAATGCATTACAATGGACATTACAATTTCACATTCCATCTTGATTCCATCTTCTATTATGGGTCTCTTTCTACTTACTTCTAATCATGGTATGAATATTTCTTGCAAGTTTTTCCCCCCATTGTATTATATTCATTGTCTTTATCTCATTTCTGTTCCCATGATGTACTTTTCCCATTAAGCAGTAACTCATATATATAATTTTTCCTTATATCTGTATCTCCAAGAAACGTTCAAAACATCCTATGCATCTTAGATAATTTATATGATATTAAATATTACTGGTTCAGCATTTTATTTTTTAAGATTATAATTCAATGTGAATTTCAGGCCTTCAGTCCACATATTTTCCCATTGCTTTAACATTTTATTATAACCAACATTTATAGCCTATTGAATGATACAATATTTGGCATGCTCTCTCTGTAGGTTCAATGAAACATTTTATTAACCTTAGTTTTAAGATGTTCATTAGTACATAGTATATTTCAATGTCATTTTTAGCAACTTCAAAACCATAAATTTTTTATCCAAAGCAAACCCTTATTTTCTATTGTAGATAGGTAAACCAGTGACATGTATGACTTTCTAGCTTTTATTTTGATTTAAGAGTGGGTTCACTTGGAACAAAGGATATTATTTCATTATAAATCCGTCAGTGAGGGTTCCCTGTGATTTCCTTCTATAAAAAGGCTTCTTGGGGTAACCCCCCCCCAAAAAAGATACTTTTCTCTGTATTTATTCCAAACTTTATAAATGTGGTTCTTAAAATCCACATTCATTTTAACTGTATCCTATCAGCAGATAGGCACAGCAAGTCACAGCAGTTTCAAGGCCATGGTTGTTAGAGTCCACTGTACCAAACAGTTCCTGGCAGCTTGTGAGATGACTGCTGGGAAAACAACACATTGACACTGAAAACCTGACTCTAGCAAAACTACACTGGCTGAAATCAAGTAAGCCAAACGTTGCAAAGAGGATCCCCACCCCCACAATCTATAATGATCCTCTACTACATTGTCTGTATTGCATTGTGCTCTTGTAGCAGATTTCTCATGAAATAGATTGCTGACCAAGTGAAATGACCCAAACAATTGTTCTAACAAATATGCCTGAGGTAGGCAGCCCCAAACAATGAGAAATGTTCCAGAAATATATGAGAGAGCACTTTGCAGATTTCTATGAATATGTGCAACATCAGAAGGGCAGGGGAAGGAGAGTGAATTCATTTAGTGCAAACCTTCTGAAGTACAGCATGTCCTTACCCAAAAGCAGGGCATCCTTTGCAGAACATGAACCCTCAACTTCTATTGAGGAAAGATCAGTGCCCATAAGCCATAGATTTAGTATTAGCAGAGGAGGAAGCCTCTTAAGACCATCTGCTGCTTACATAGGTATTGTACCTATGGAAAGTGTCAGCAGCCTGGGCACACGGATATCCCGCAGAGCTCTGGGGATAAGCAGTGTTTTCTTACAAGGTCTTCATAGTTCTTGTACAACCATACCGCTATTCCAAGGATTGGAAAAAGAACGAAGCCTATCTTATGAAAATATGAACAGATGCTTGGTGGATTACATTGAAAAGGTGAAAACTTTGGAGCAAGTCAACCAGGAACTTGAAGGACATATCCGTGCTTACCTGAATAAGAAATCTTCCACTGACAGTAAATGGGGATCTCTAAGGGAGAGCTGGGCAACCATTTATCATCAAGTAAGTATGAAATGAAGCATTTGTTAACCACAGCCAAATTCACTTCAATTTTGATGAGGCTACTTAAATTAAAGTTTAAATGACATTTTCCTCTTACTTGATATAATTTAATCTTATAAAAGTAAATTCTATTGTTTATATTGTTTTCAAATTTCAAATTAGGTTTGAGCATTTCCATAGGGTATCTGTAAGTTTTTTCTGCTTTATTTAGTGTATCCCCTCACTCCACAATTCTGAGTGGTTCACAAGAAAATATGAAAGAATGCAAAGTTGTTTCTCTTTGAAGTAGTTATTGAAAAGGATTGAACAATTAAGAGAAATACTGCCAGAACTGTTCATGTTTATGCAATTATATAACCTTTTTACCAGTATGATTCTATATGTAATGAAGAAAGTACAATTTTCATTATATTCTCAACCTTGTCACATCTTAGAATTACAATTTTGTTCAGGGAATACAGACACACTAATCAGTGAAACTTAATATTATTCAAAGCATAAGTGCTAACAGCATAGGGAAGCCCCATTTGCAAGTCTCCCACAACTGCTTTTCAGCTTTTGGAAACATAATCATACAAGTACAATATGTGGGAGCTATCATGTTATTGGCTATCCACTCATTTACCAATGATAAACGTCCAAAAAAGCTAATAGTGTATATGAAATAATCACACATTTCAAACATATACACAAACATAACTTATTTCAGGGGATCAAAAAATAAACAAATCGGAGGAGGGGTGGGCTTGATAGATAAGATATCAAACAACATGCTTGTTATGAAAAGTCAAACTCCTATGAGAAATATGTCAACATTTGACCTTTTTTTTGCATTTTGGGATTTACAATCATCACTTAAGAATTATCACACACTATAACAGAGGAATGCCATCTCATTGAAAATACAATGTACAGGAAACATGCTTGTAATATATAGGACATATAAAAACTTTTAAGTAATTCCAACAGCAATAGTGCCATGCAGATGTTATTCAGTGGTTCACTCTGAAGATTCATCAATTTTTCCACTTTACACTGCTGTCAGGAGAAGATTAAGTAACGTCTATGCAAACACCACCTGAGTAAGATGTTATTCTAGCACAGAGTTCCATCCGTATACAATTTTGGATATAGATTGTATATTTTGTTTATGTTTGACTCTTTGAACTGTTATAGGTAGGGGATGCAGTTCTGGAAAATGCCCGCCTCATGTTGCAAACAGAAAGTATTCAAGCATGTGCTGAAGATGTTAAAGACAGGTAACATTAAATTAAAAGTAAAAATAAATATGCATTTTAATATTTAAAAAAGAAAGGAATTGTATTGGAAATAAATTGAGGAAACTGGAACCCAATCCTCTTCCATCAGAAGGCAACTTCAATTAATAGTAGTTCTTCATGCCAGAAGTCTAAACTTTGTGATATTATTTTGATATATTCTCATTTATACTGCAGGTATGAAAATGAGCAACCATTTCGAAAGGCAGTAGAAGATGAAATTAATTCTCTCTATAAAGTAATTGATCATGCTAATTTGACTAAAGTAGACTTGGAGAGTCAGATAGAAAACATGAAGAAAGAACTAGCTTTGCTGTCAAAAAATCATGAAGAGGTAAATCAATTTTGAGAAACAAAAAAATATATGTATTCTACTTCTATCTAAACAAAAGATGGAAATGAACTTTAGATCTGACAAGGACATTTTAATACCAGAATTTTAATGCCATCAATAAGCATTTTATCATTTTGTAATACTATGCACTGATGAAAGTCTAATTAGCATTAGAACCAGTGGTGGGTTCCTCTCCCTGTCGCTACCGGTACACTGCGCGCAGGGCCAGGTGTCCTGTTCATGCATTCACGCTGCGCACTCTTACACACTCCACTGCCCCTGCGACACCCAGTTGCTTGTCGGAGGTCTCACAGGCACCGCACGTCTTAGTAATTATACAAAGTATTATAAACTGAGACAAACAGATATGTATTCAAGGTTGTTCTGTTTTTTCACAGAACATCAGGGAAAATAAGCAATGACTACAGTATACATTCTAAAGTATACTATACTTTAGCATACATTCACTAACAGATGTACAGCTTTCATCATCATGGTTGTAAATATCAGTGGCTGTGGAATCCAAACATTTTGGAGTTCCCAGAGAGATCTGGCTATCCATTATGGGAATAGTGGTAGATTAGATGGGCTCTCAATATGTACCAGAAGGGCTTTTTTATGTATTTATGAACATCAAAAAATGTACCGGGTTTAAATAAAAACTTCTGAAGCAATGCAAACCATCTGAGTCATAGCACTGGGATAACTGTTTATTAGACTGACGAGTTAAATTATTTTGTAAACCATTCATTCGTTTTAAGACACTCTGGAACATGACCGGTTCTCAAGAGAAATATATTCATAGTTGCCATTTAAAGCGACAATGAGATTTTTATGTTTCTATTAAATTCTAGCAGTTATTATGAAATACAAGTTGAGAAATAGCTCTCTTTCAACACCTTACTATAGAGGCAAATGCACTGCATAGCAACAAAGTTGCAACAAATAGTAATTACTCTGAGTTTTGTTAAAATATGTGCTTCTGTTTTTTTATAAAGATTATTTTATTTATTTAAATGAATTGGTCATCTATTTGTAACAACTTTATTTTCAGGATATCAAAATTCTTTACAAACAGCTTGCTTTATCACCACTGGAAGAATCAGAAATCCCCATTGAAATTAGCCTGGATGACATTTTGAAGAAAATCCAGATTCAATGGGAGAAAAATATTGAACAAAACTATGCTGAGACTGGTATCTTGCTCCATGCTAAGGTAAGCATGGAACAAAATTAGCTGTAAGAATTAACTTCAAATTCTTTTAGGTCAATTAAACATAATCAAACAGCATACAGTATAAGCTTTTGAATTATGCAGAATTCTTCAGCAAAATTGTAAATATAACCAAGAATGCAGCAGGAAATAGTAAAACACCAGACTCACAGGATTTGCATTTGATCCAGTGCATGTGTAGAAGAGGACAAAAAGTCATGCAATGCATATAAAAAAAGGACAAGCCTTCAAGCACATGGTTGCAGCTGCCTTTTTGACTTCTACAGTAATCCTCATTGTGGATGTCCCAGTAGGGGGTTTCAAATTTTTTTAGAACCTATTATGTAGGTGTGGCCTGTTTCATGGGAGTGGCTCAGTGGTCATGTGACCATGTGGGCATGGCCAACTCAGAAAATGTGGTGAAACTCACTTAACAATGCTCTTGCTTAGCAACCAAAATTTTGGGCTCAATTGTGGTCATAAGTTCTCTTTCTTTCTTTCATCTCTCCCATTTTCTTTTCTTTTTTCTTTATTTATTTTTTCCTTTCTTTCTCTCTTTCTCTTTCTGTCTTTCTCTCTCTCTCTGTATCTCTGTCTCTCTCCTCCCTCCCCCATTGGTCATTCTGTGTGTGTATGTGTGTGTGTGTCTGTCTCTCACTCACTCTTTGTGTGTGTGTGTCTCCCTCCCTTCCTCTCTCTCTCTCCCCTTCCCTTCCTCTCTCTCTCTGTCACTCTGTGTGTATAAGTGTGTGTGTGTGTGAGAGAGAGAGAGAGAGAAAGAGAGATCCCTAAAAGTGATACTGCCATTCAATTGGGAGGAGGGGAGCCTCGGAGTTAAATCATTAGCTACATCTGAAACAACTGAGTTTTACAACTTTACAACAGGTTTCCTGTCACCGGGAGACTAAAGGTCCCAACATCTCTGGAGGGATGTTTATGGTAGCCATGTGGGATATATAACTTTGATGTCTAACTAGAGATAGCCATGGGAACGTGTGCTTTATTGACTCCCAGGGCACAAGAGTTAAGGAAGCATCTTCACACTTGTGTATTGGTCAGAATCTGCATTCGGACAAAGGGGAGGGGTCATTATCAGCTTAATCCCATTTGCATGGCCTAAAGGTTTTCAGATGGTGCTTTGCTTCTAATGATTTCCATCCTGCTTGATTAAAGGCTCCTTTTGAAATAATCCGTTTCAAGAGTCTTTACTTTCTCAAGTTAGGAGAGGAGCTATTACAGTTTGTCTGTCTCTCACTCACTCACTTAATCACTCACTCTGTGTGTTTGTGTGTCTCTCTCTGTGTCTCTGTCTGTCTGTCTTCTCTCCCTCCCAACCCAGCGGAGCCTCGTCCTTCTTTTTAACCAGACAGTTATCTTCTTTTTAGCCAGGCGATCTTTTTCATGTTAACTCGAACATTTTAACTCAAATATTCATACATGTCACCATCATCATATATCTATTTTCATTTGACTGTAATTATTATTTAAAAATATTAATAAAGATAATAATCTTAAACAATACATGCCCACACCAGTGGGAAAAGAAAAAATCAAAAAAGAGGAGAAAAAAAAGACAAAAAGAACAAAAGACAAGGCAGGGAAGAAAAAACAAAAACAAAAAAAAGAACACAGGTATCTATTATATAAAAAAAAGTATTTCAGCTGGTTACAACATGTTTTGGTGCATCTCTTCCATTAATTCATATTAATTCAAATATCTTAACTCAGATGTTTACCATATTAACATCATCATACTTCCATTTTTAGTTGACTAGTTATTTAAACATCCTTCAACCTTAACTATGCCAAAGAATTAATCCATAACACCTGCTGACATTTCATTTACTTGTTTGTAGAATCCTCTATTAACATCAAATCCTCGTATCTTATTTTAGCTGAACATCTATAATATTTAGTACCAAAAAGGCGATCTTTTTAACCAGGCACTCTTTGGCTGCTGCACAAGTCCATGGGCACGCACTGCCTCTTCTCTCTGATAGCCCCCTGGTTAAAAAGGAGGTGGCTCTGCTGGTCCGGAGCCCATCCGCAGGGGGAGGGATCCCCCTCACATTCCTCGTCTTCCCGGATGGGCTCTGGACCAGCAGAGAAGAAGCGGCAGGGGCTGTTGGGCTGGAAACCCAAGCTCCATTAGCCCCAAAAGCCTCTTCTGGAGGTCTATTGCAGTTGCAAGGAGCCATGGAGAGTGTGGAGCGCAAAAGTTCTCAGCGCTTCGGGAAGCCGCAAAGGTGACTGAGAGGTGCGCAGCTTGGTTTAGCCTTCCTGGATGTCGCAGAAGCAGCTCCAATCAGGCCGATCTCAGCGTTTTTCGCATCGGGGCGTGCTGCAAGAGGGAATGAGTGAAGACCTTTTCCAGCAGTGCAAAGGACTTCACTGGATTTGCTTTGCTGAGCACGGGGTGACAAGCCCGCACCTCCACCACCAGCAATCCAGAAAAGCTCTTCATTCCCTCCCTCTTGCAGCACACCCTGATGCGAAAAACGCCGAGATTGGGGCTGCTGCTGCGACGTCCAAGGAGGCTAAACCAAGCTGTGCGCCTCTCCCAGCTGCTTTCACGGCTTCCCGAAGCGCTGACAACCTTCACACTCTTCTCCGTGCTCTCCTTGGTTCCTCGCGACTGCAACAGACGTCCAGAAGCGGCGGGGGCTGTCAGGCTGGAAACCCAAGCCCCATTAGCCCCAAAACCACTGTGCCAGCAAAAAGCTTATTTACCCCCTCAGCAGGCAACAAGAGATCAAAGGGCTCTCTACAGGGCTCTTAGTGGCGTGGTCCGGATGGGCGGGGGAGCGAGCGGATGCGCGGTGACTGGATGGGCGGGGCCCAGGGGTGAGCAAGCAAGGGGGTGTTCCACTGGTGGAACCTCTTCTAGAGAACCGGTTAGAACCGGTAGGAACCCACCCCTGGGACGTCCCTAACTTGGAAAGTAAAGGAAAAAAGTTATAGACATTCAAATTAGGCTCTTTGGATGCTCTTTGATGCTTGCAAATTGCAACTAGAATTATCTATAGCTCTGCTATCTAGCAATTGCTGCTCCTCTATTTTATCACAATTTAGCTTCAAATTGTCAAGTGAAACTATTGTTAAATAAAAGAATGGAAACCCCCAAAACAAATATGAATTGGTTACCCACCCTCACCCCCCAATCAAAAGCAGGCTAATCCAAAGGTCAAGAGTATGGGAAGCTTTTGATTTCTCCAGAATTGTTCCTCAGTAAAGTGATTTTGTGCTATTAAATTATTTTCATTTCTAGCAACCACATAGTTTTTTCTGCAACGCTCTTGCTCTAACTTGTCCTTTCAAGTCTCCCAATGGTGCACTTATTCAGGATAACTGACTCTATCTTGCTGTTGGTCATCCTCTTCATCCCTTTCCTTCTTTTCCAGCATTAGAGCCTTTTCCAGAGACCTGGGTCTTTGCATGTGTCTAAAGTAGGATAGATGATGATGACAAAAAGCTGGCTGTTGAAGGAAATTAAGAAATTTAGGCAACTGTAAGTTCACTGACTTGGTTCCTGCCTATAAGTCATACTTACAGCATAACTTTATGGGTCAAATTATCTCATTTCAGTGGCATCAGTTTTACTGGAATTGAAATGACACTAATCTAAATCTAACCCAGTTGTGTACTTCTACATTTAATGTAATGCTATTCATTAACTGTCCAAAGCTTCTGATTTGATTAAGAAGAGATGTTTCCAAATACATGGAAATGTATTTTGACAAAAGTAACCTTTATCTGTGACTCATTAGAACAGCCACAATCCTGAAAACAAGATAGAGCCAATGAAATGAATTATAGGTGTGGTGTTTACTTAGACAAACTCAGCACTTCTTCTTAGCAATCTGAAGCACTACTCATTAGCATTATTTCCATTTTCTTCTGACAATATTTCTATTCAATATTTCTATTTATTTATGTTAATAATCAAAGAGCTGGATCCAAAACGCAATAATTTTCCTTTCATTTTTCTCTAATATACCTATAAGAGATTGGAAAATAAAACAATGTTTTTATTTATCACTCTTATGTCAGCAATTCACAGAAACAGTGCCTGCTGTACAAACACAAGAGGCAGAGTTGGCTGAATCCCTAAGGGCAGAGTTTCATGAAACAGCCTGCAAAATTCAAAGCCTGCAAATAGAGACTGAATCTCTGAAAACACTGGTGAGTAAGGGAGCAGGGATCTCTTTCTGGCACAAATCATTGATCTGGTTCATATATTATGTGAAAATGACTTTATTTTGACTTGGAATGTTAGTGGACTTATCTTATATTTATAAACCATGGCTTCTATCTGAATGATATAGAAAAGCAGTATTTATTCAACATAGCTTACTAAAACCAAGATTAATGCAATGTCTGGACTGATCTCTTCAAAAAGGCTTTTCAAATTAACTGAAAAATAGCAGGTACCCTTTGACTTAAGATATAAAACTTTTATGTTAAAAGGCTACATATTAGACATCAGTTTTTCCATTTCACTATTAAAATGCTTAATTGTCTCTTTTGCTCATATGTATTACAGTAGAGCAGCCATTTTATGAACTGGATCCCTCACCCCTAGAATAACCATTTTCTTTTGAGTTCGGATGTTCTTAAAATATCAAATGGTCCCCAAAGCTTGGGGGCTTCTACACTAGTGCATTCTTAATAAACAGCTTACCAACTCTAAACTGTTTACCATCAAACACTTTTCATGAGTTTTTACAAATCATGAACTAGAACCCACTTTCTGATAAAACAGTAATCATTACTAAATTATCCATTTTTAACTTGAATTTTGGAATGCACTATAATACGAACAATACTGATGTCATCTGGAAAAATACCTTTGACCTTTTACCAAAATATTAAGGGCAGCAACAATAGCACTATTTAAATGCTCCTGATCAGTATTTATTTTGATGACCAAATAATCTCTTTGACTGGAATTCTTCAGTCTGTGCATAACAGATATTTTGCAGGAATAATTTATTAATATCTTTTTCTTCTAGAAATTAATATGTATCTGAGAGGATTCTATATTTGAAAAACTAGGATGTTTGGATTTAATAATTGTTTCTCTAAAGACAGAAATGCAAAATATTTAATGTTCAACATTTCATGGATGTTTTGTCTTTACAGAAGAGAGGCTTAGAAAATTCTCTTTATGATGTCAAGCATTGGCATGACATAGAGCTTCAGAATTTAGGCTCTGTCATTGCCAAACTGGAAGCAGAAGTAAGAGAAATCCAAGGAGAAACTGAGCAGCAGCAAAGAAATCATGAAACTCTACTTTCCATTAAAACACAACTCGAGTCAGACATTGCTGCGTATCACTGCCTTCTAGAGACAGAAAGCAGGTATTCGTTTTCATGAGTGAGAATTGTGTGTTGAATTTACATAACAGCATCTCTCAGCCCAAGGAATGAAGGTAAAATCAGAGTAAGCTGATTCTGAAAGGGGAAAAAAGCAGAATATTCCTAGTTGTGGGTTATATTAATAGAAAATGGTAGAATTCCTGGTTTACCCAACATGCTCCTTCTACCAGCACCTGTACTACGGGAAGGATGAGGACATCCTTTAAACCCAGTCATTCCCTCCAGCAGATGGGATCTTCAGATAAGTCTCTCCCCGAGTGCTTTTTCTGCACTTTATTGAAGAAGGAAAACTGGAGTGTGGTGAAAGCTCTCAGCAGCCAAATTCAGATGCCATAATCAACGCTTCTTGCCATCTTTTGTAGTCCATATCCCCTTGTTAAAGTTTTTGAACTCATTATGTGTAGCCAGTGCCATTTTGGTTCTTTGATATAAGAATTGTATTTCTGCATAAGAAAATACAAGCAGTTTATTAATAATTAATTAATAATTAAGAACCTATTGTAAATACTACTTACCAAATAGGAATACAGTTATGCACACACTTTAGTCATATCTTTGCTTTCTCTAACTTGATGCCTTTCTAGATTGCAAACATTGTCAGCTAATGGTTCAGTTTGTTCAGAGTCTAAGCCTACAATACAGTACTACTTTCTTTAATCAGAGCAAAAATAGCAGGCATCTATCAAACTATCAAACTACAATGCCAATCAATCCTAATTAGTGTTCCCAATACCTTTAGAAAACAATAGATGTATGGTATATATTATTGAACATTTAGTTGTGCTTCCCTGTGTACTTTTATCAAGAAAACTGTAACTTTTACTCCTGGCATTTTTAAGGTGACATTTAAAATTAAAACTAAAATTAGAAAATTGTAATATTTTAATAAATTAGTAGCATTTGCAATTACCATATTTACACTGTAAATAAAAAGCATCAAGTCCAATTTATTAACTTCATTTGTATTCTAACATTTATTCAGCCCTTAAAACGATGAGAAAAGTATTCTTCATTGCCTCAGATTAGGTGACTATCCTGTTTATGGCATAGTTCTTACTAATCATCTACGTGAGTGTAAGGACTCATGGCTCCTAAGGGACCCGATTATTTCAGTGGATTTTCAAAATTAGTTTCTACTGAATGATACCTTCTGAGATAGCCACATTTGGTAAATTTCCAATGGTCCTGCATAAGATATTGTGAAATTTCAAGAGGTAACATCTCAAAAGAGAGAAATCTTTCTCATAATGGAAAATTTATGAGATTTAAGAGAACCCTTTAAAGCATTTGCATGTGAGTTTATTGTTCACAAATCTTGAATGAGATCAAACTCTTACAAGAAAATTTTCTTAATTTTTTAAAAAAATGGCATCCATGCCATTGAACAATAATGGTACTCCATACCTGAGAAGATAACTCTTCATACAAATCCATACATATACAAAATGTATTTCCGTATTATAATTTTCTTATTCTACTCTTATTTTTTCTTGCTAACATTAATAATTTTGTTTTGTTTTTAACAGTTTGTTCTTTTTTAGGAAATAATAACATGGCATTTTTTGCATTTAACTTTCAGCTGATCTCTTTCTCATCAGAAGACAATTATTACCATTCAAAGAAAGTATTTTATTGGCAAGTGTTCATGGAAAACATGACAATAAAGTTTCTGTTTGATTTGCAAATCTAAGCAGGCCAACTTGCCTAATATTAAATGCCATAAATGACTGCTTTGCATAAAAAGTATAATAGAATAAAATATTAGGTTCAAGTACTGCTGTCCAGTTTTTTTTAAAAAAATACCGAGCAACTATAATAATTCTACAATTTTATATATGTAACTTGGAAATTGTACTCCATTAATCATAGTGGGATTTATTTACTGTTTTAATTAAAGGAATAACTGAGGAATCAGACTGGCAGAACAATATAATCTAAATTGTATTTTTGTAGAACAAGCTTTGTGCACTATTCACTACAAATGTTTATGTTAACCTTGTAAGGTTCTTTGGAGTTTGTCTGTTATTGATTGCACTCTCCAAGAATGTAGATGTTTTCTAAACTACCATTTCTGTTTAATCTTGAACAATGATCTCAACAGAGCCCTAAACTAGCAAGTATTTTATACTATCAACTTAGCCAAGAGACAACTATTTTTTTAAATTAAAAACTGTTTGAGGGGTCATACTGAATCATACCTTAGTACTGGAAATGGTTTTATCTCTGTCCCCATTGCAGTTTTCTAATTTAAATTTCATATATATCCATAATAGTGATTTTATTTTAATTACACAGTAATAGGGATGCAGTGTATCCTAGAGATTTTCTCCTATGGAGCAAGTAGTAATTTTGCAGAAGAGTGAGTATTCAGATTATGCAGAGATTAATGTTGATTTCCCCTTTCATGGTCCCAATCCAATTCAGTATTCTTCCCTCTTCAGAGCTCTGAAGCTTCAAAAGTTTCAAAATGCAAAATCTACTACCATATTCCCTGAGAAGGTTCTGGAGAATTCCAGAATATTCCATTTAAAGAAAAATATATTTTGCACAACTCTTTAAAAAGTAGAGCATTGCATTAGAAATGTACGGTATTTCATCTCAACTCATTTGACCTAGGAAAGAATTCCCTATAGCAACATTTAAACAATGTTGACTAACATCTAGAAAAAGGTGTGTGAAATAGAATTCTTCCAGCAATCAGGAACTTCAAATCCTAACTCAAATCAAACTCAGTGCTCCTAATATTCACAATAGATTATGTTTCTTTTTTGGAGGGGGTGGGGAGAACCCATTTCTGATCATGCATCAATCTGACATGAAGTCCTTTTACCATTCCAAGCAGAGATCTGTAATGTTATAAAACTAAATAAGTCCATTTACAGATAGTGTTTCATGGTTCAACTCCTTATTTCCCTCATTTTTCTTTTGTGACTGTGATGGTGAAAAGAATAAACTTACTTTTATAATGGTAAGTAAAATTTTTACAAATACCATTTCATGGTTTAACACCCAAATCTTACTTCAAATACATGCTGCAATTTCAATTCATAATATTACTTCAACTAATAAAAATAAGTTTTTAAATAAACATAACTTGTAAAAGATAAGGAAAACACAGACACTTACAAAATGCAACTGAAGTTGCATTTAATGTAGTATATTTGCATCAATATATGAAACGAAGTTGTGCATCTACATCATGGCAGGAATGTGTCTGGACTTAATTGCTGTGCATTCGTAATAAGACCTTAAAACTGCTAATAACTTGGGAGCAAAACCTTTTAAATTCATTTTTCTGGTAATTCTAAAGAAAACTTTACTGTATGATATAAAAAGCACGAGAAAAAGCAATTAGAAGGCTTATTCTCTGACTACAGGCGGCTCCAAACTCGTCAAGAAGATAATTAAAAGGAGAACCCTCTGAACCAATAAGCCAGATTTTCGTGACCTTCGCTGTCTACTTTCATCCATGCATCGGAGAAGTCACTAGAAGTAAAGTCAAATTGCGCACTCCTCTCCCGCCTCATAGCGCATGCTCCCATCAGGCTCCGCCCACTTTAGGATAACGAATCACTTCTCAAAATTCTGTCCCCGTGCATGCGCACTAAATAATTCACCCGCAGGAATTTCTAACGTTCTCTGCTGCCGGCACTCACAGCTACGCGCACGTCAGTACACCCCACCCCCGCGCTTTTTGATTGGCTCCAAGACTCTTCGTTTCTTTCAGCGGGTTGGTCGGCGGAGGGACAAGTGCATGCGCTCTCCCTCCTTCCCACTCTGATGCCCAATAGTGGTTCTTTGAGTAGTACGTTAGAAAAATTCTGCTCCTTGGCGGGGCCCCTCCCTCGCTTCTTCCCAGTCTCCTCTTTCGGCTGTGACAAGTGGTGGCCACCAACGTGGGGAGCGGAAGCTGTTCTGCTCCTCTTCGAACGAACTGCGTTGAGGCAGGAGCAGGAGGGAAAGAGCGCGTGCGGCGGCAGTTTAAGCTTGGACCTTCTGCTTCCCACAAGAGAACGGAAGCGGCGGGGAGCCAGACGAACGTAAGGACCACGCGAGGCTGTTGGGTGACGCCGAGTTCTCACCGCCCTTTCTCCTCTCCCCTCAATCACTGAGGTTTGGGGGATCGCTACCTCCTTAAGAAGGAGACGCGACTGGTCAGTCAGTCAGTCATATCCGGTTTGAACCAGAGTGCGAGGAGGAGCTACCGCCGCCACCGCCATGGCTGAAACCGAGGAGAGGAGCTTAGATGACTTTTTCGCGAAACGAGACAAAAAGAAACGGAAAGAGAAAAGCAGCCGAGGAAGTGCCACTGCCGCGCCTTCCTCGGCTGCCTCTTCCAATGCTACTGCCGCGGGTATGACTGGGGGAACCCGGCAAGCAGAAGGCGCCCATGGAGCCGCCTCTAATGCTAACGCGGCCACCGGCGGTGCTAAGGCAGCAAACAAGGTAAGGAGACCGAGATCGATCAGGCAGAACTGGGAGCGTTATGGCCTTGAGTTGGCCAGGAACTAGGGTGAAAGAGGATTGGAGAGTAGGAGGAGGAAACTTTATCGTGACTACTTCCTGTGGGCGTTGGTAACTTCCTTTCGGTAGAGGGCGTCGCTACATCCCAGCTAGGCCATCTTGGGTTTTCTCTGGGCCGCATGGGAGGCAGTTTCTCAGTTTTCTTCGTTCGTGGGGTCGGGGCCGAGGTTAGGGCAATGGGAATCCATTTTGTTAGGAAATTGGCTGGTACTACGTGCTACGGGAGATCAAAGCGGATAATTGTTCAGTCTTGCTTGTCCAGGTTTGTCTCAAATTTCCCACCAGGACTTCTCTGTTTGAACCTGCATCTCACTGCTATAAGATGTGAGCACAGGATATTTTCGCATTTGCCGTTTTGAGCAAAAGGAGTATCTTGCTGTTGAGGCAGGATAAGAACGGGGCACTCACTTCAAAGTATAAAATATGAGAATGGTACACGGTTACTACGATTTTATTGCCTCCCTCCAAAAGCAGCCATTGAATGTAAATGTATCCACAGGGTATTGGATCAAACCAAAATTGATCTAGTCCAGCATTCTGTTTCTATACACCACTAGTTCTCAATATTAATGGTGCTGTAGACTAAAACAATTACTATTTTTTGTTCACACGTATCTCAGGACAAATTATGCCGAAAAACAAGGCTTTTGATGATTGCAAGAGGAGGCATGCCATTTGAGAAACTATCCATATATGACAAGAGGCTAAGTTTCACAATCAAGTGTAATTACCTGCCTCTCCCCCTTGAAACAAACAAAAAATTACGCTTCAAACAAAGGTAGACAACTAAGACACCTTGATTCTGATCTAGTCAGCTAGGGTAGCAATTAAGAGCAAGTTGGGGAAGAAGCCATTTGTAATTGTACTTGCCTTTTGTACTAATGTAGTTTCATTCTCTTTGAAAATGGCTATTCTCCCAAGAAAGACCAGGCTCCTTATAGTTTCTCAAACCTTTTGGCAAACTTTATTCTTCAACAAAACTTTATTCAGCAGATGTGCATTGGTTGCAAAGAACTGGACCATCACCAAATGGCAACCATCGATTAACAAAACATTTGATATCACCTAGGGATTAAAACCCCAAGCTATGGGTATAAGCTATAAACAAACAGCCTTGTGCAGACTGCCAGTTTTTGAAAACTCAGCAAATTCATTCATCCAAACATTACTGCCATCAGGAAGGATCAGCCTCCTCTACCTCAAAAGATATATTATGGAGCACCTTCAGGCTTTGAAACTGCCAATTCATTGCTGCTGCTGTGCTTCTAGTCACTAAATAACTGATTGATACACCATCTATTCCTTTGTAGACCTTTCTGATCTGAATTGTGCTGGCATGTTATAAGGAGTATTAAAGTGTTCAATAACTGAAAAACAAAACTATATATGTATGTATGTATGTATGTATGTATGTATGTATGTATGTATGTATGTATGTATATATATATATATATATATATATATATATATATATAAAAATACTGACAGGGAATTTCAACTGAAGAATCACCACTCACAGCCCTTAATATGTTGCTTGTTATGCTGCATCAACCTATTCTGTAAGAGTACAGTGTAGAACAGCAAAAATTTAGGGTAGGCTGATTTCCGGCTGACTGGAGGGAAAGGGAGCTTGGCAAATAAGTGGATGAATGTGGCCTTTATCAGATAATGGTAAATGAAGATCCATTCCATCTTAACATCATAAAACATTGGTCACCAAATGTATATGTCATTTTAATGCAACAAAATAGTTTTTAACTTGCAAATAGTTTCTTCTTTGTTTTTCTCAGATGTATAAATTGACTATCCTCACAGCATCATGTTGGTGAAAAATAATTATTTTGTAGTATCTTCTAAGGTGGTTAGTAACTTGTGTCTAAACTAAAATATAGCCAATTCTCTCTCCTTTTCATTCCTTTCTAAGCTTGCTCTAAGACAGGGGAGTCCAACTCACATTGTCACTGTGGCATCACATGATGTATCAGGACATGGGCGTGGACAGTGTGTGTGTGCATCTGGCCTGTGGGCCACGAGTTTAACAGTTCTGCTCTAAGAAATTGAGGAGTTTTGATTTCACTGCTCACTTTTAAATAAAACTCTGAAATGGTCACCTCAAAGCTAACTTCTATGTGAAAGTGGGGATATACGACTAAATATCAGAAATAGAAATAGCCTATCTAGTTATGAAGTTGGCACTATTCAGCTTCTGATATAATAGAAGAGTTGGGAATATTTAAATCCTAGGAGGATGACTTTTTTTCTGTGACAGTCATTCTATAACTTCACATGCTGATTGTCTTTTATTAAGAACTAATAATGAGCCTATGTAATCTTCATCTTTCAGGAAGAGGATGACTGGAAAGAATTTGAGCAGGAAGAAATAATTGACTACAGTGGCCTCAGAGTTCAGTCCATGCAAATTAGGTATTGTCTTGAAAGTGTGTGGGTGTGGGTGTGTATAGTTCTGTATTTATGAATGATTCAGTTACTATTTGCAAGTTCTAGGTGAAGAAAAACTTAATCAGGTCTTATCTCTAAGCTTGCCACATAGTAGCTGGTATTGCTGCAAAACATCAATGCTTGCTGTTCTTAAATACTTTAATATTTCTGTGCTTGATGGAGAAATTACTATTAATTATTTAATCTTAGTTGGTGATTATTAAAAACCAGGGTTTTTTTATACCTAAACATTTTGCATCCTCTATTAATTAGGAGCTTATAGTTATTGACATGATTGCATTTTAACTGTCAGTTATTAATATTCATAACATGAGATTGGAGATGTTCTCTTTTGTTTTAAATAACAAAATGCTTTCAGTACTACTATATGCTCACTACTATATATTACAGTTTACATGTTATAGTATGAATGTGTTTACATAAGTGGTGAATGCTGCAATAGCTTCTTTTTATCAGTGAAAAGGATGAAGAAGAAAGTGACAGAAAAGAAGAACCAAGGGATAATAGTGAGGAACCAGCTGGAAATGTGGAGAAATCATCTGGTCCTTGGAATAGGTCTGCTCCTACACAAATACCTGTTGCTGAAATTATTGGTGAGTTTTGCTCTGTGTTCCTTTTAATTTACCAATGTTTACTGAATCAGCCATTTTAGCTCATTTTTAACTAAATGAAAATCTGTTGAATAAACCTGAAATACAGCTATGATTTCTTGCTACAATGAATGCTCCTTTGGAAATATTTTATTTCTAACATTTGTTTAAATAATAGATTATCTGATACAAAGTAATCTTTACTTACACAGCCAGGATCTTAAGTGAATATTAAATTGAAAAAAATTACTTAATATTTATCTAATTACATCTGATTGTTTTGAGTTTTTAAAATTCTTTACAGAAAATCCAGAACCAGTGCAATCCAGTGGAGTATATAGGCCACCTGGTGCAAGAGAAGGCAGGACACGAAAAGTGCCGCAAGGTCCCCCAGAGATCTATAGTGATACACAATTTCCATCATTGCAATCCACTGCCAAGCAAGTAGATACTAGAAAGTAAGTATGGCAATGATCTAAATATTTCCTTAAAACCATTCTTCTTCCAACGAAGCAATCTCTTCATATCTATATCCACAGATCATAAACAGGTATACAATGTGATCTGCACTAGAGGAAGCAAATACATTTTAAGCATAACTAGGGGGGATATGGATTTTATCAGACTGAAATTTTTAAAAGTTTCTCAATTAATGCAATGCTATTTAGAGAGGTGGGATGTGAGATTGTTGTATAACTTGATCTAATATCAATTACCTTCTAGGGGACTTGGTCCATTGCAGAGCTTCAGTATTTTAATTGCTACTAAGTGGTTCAAAATTTAATTTTAGGAGGTTTATCAATGTTCAATTTAAGCAGTAAATTACAGCATATTTGTATTTGTACCATAATGTACACAAAGATGGCATTTGCCAGATTTGTTTTGTAATGTGTTACTGCACTTGGGATTATAAATGTATTAAGAATGTGTGTTAAGTGTGTTTTAGACACTCCCTACATAATTGATTTTATTTTAATGTCAATTTTGTTGTAACAGACTGCTTATAAATAAGTATTCCTAATCAGTAGGTGCTTTCATGAGACTTAAGTTCAGTTAAAAAAACAAGCATGCAGAAACAGTTACGCGGTTCTTTGCATTTAGCCTATGCTTTGGAATAGTTTCTGAATGTTGCATTTAGGACATTTCTATATTCATAATTATTGACATGTTGCAGTGTTAGTCTATTTGGGATGTTGAGATACATTTTTGTGGCTGAAATCCAGTGAATTGCCTCAGTAATGCTATCAAAAGTTTTGAATTTATTTTTTTTATAACAAAACCCAGTTTGTCACTTCAGAAAATTTTTATGAAATGGCATTGAGGTTTGTTCAGAGAAATGTCATCAGTACATATGCAAGCCCTTAATCATGCCTGCAATACTTCTTGGGATTATGGTCTCCTTTGTTAGGGCCCTAGTCATGGAATTTTGCAATTAAATTAGTGTCATTGATTAATATTGCTAAAGGGCAAGTGTGTCTAAGACAGTTACTGATTACATTTATTTTCCCTTAGGGATAAAGAAATGGAGAAGAGCTTTGAAGTAGTAAAACACAAAAATAGAGGTAGGGATGAGGTTTCAAAATCCCAGGCAACTAAACTTCAGCTAGACAACCAATATGCTGTGCTTGGGGATCAGTAAAGCTGCACACATATTACAATTAAGGAATGGTTGTTTGATACCCTTCCACTCTTAAGGTAACTAAACTACACCAATTATGAACATGCCGTCTTGTTTCTGCTGGATCTTCTACAACAAGTGCAGTCTACTTTGACGTAAGTGATTGCTTTTCTGCACTTTGAAAGTATACTTAATTTGGTACACCTTCGTATTATGAGGGAAATTAATGTAAATTCTTGAAAAAGAGTTCCCGGTGTTTTGATTCCTCTGCAGCCAGTGGTTATTTCAAATTTTTTTATGTTCAGATACTGAGCCTTCGTAAAGGTTGACTACCTCAGACTTGCTGCACTCATTGTGGATACCATGTGGATCACAACTTCTGGAAAAGATTACAACTCTTTGGTGGCCATCTGAAACTCGAAACCAGCTCTACTGGATTCCTCTAAAGAAATCCTGCAGGAGTCAGCTATCTGAGTTGATAATATAAATGACAAATTTAAGTGACCTTAAATGTGCCCCATTTATTATATCCTTTCACATGTAGCCATAATTTACTAGGAACCTCTAATGCACAAAGATTTTTAAAAAAAAGATGCAGCATAGTGAGTTTTTCTTTTAATTTAGTTATCAGAAAATAAATACACATCCAGACAGAAAATGTATGGACACTAGTGTGAATATTCTGGTTTCATCTGTGTAAACTTTTCATTTGAAAAATAGCGCGCTCTACTCTTGACAAATTGCAATATAGTCAGGTAAGTTGCATGGAATATGCAACTATATATACTTTACTGGATCTCAGAGTTAGGTTTTCTTTGGATAAATGGTAAATAAATGTCTGCTCCTATAATATCTCGGAATTTTTTTGAGAAGTTCATTCTGAATATATAGCCTTAGCAATCTGTTAAGAAGTATCAGCTATTGCTCATGCATACCATCAAATTTGCAGATGGAGATACTTATATGTATAGTGAAAAATGTCCATTGCTGTACTTTCTTACTGTTCATTTGGATACATTTTGCGAATAAGATTTTGCATTTAATGCATTTCCACCCCAGCTGCCCAAACAGTAATGGCAACTTCAGTTAAAATTCAGTTTCCTGGCCAGCTATGTACCCATTTATTTGAACAAATATTAACAGTATTTGAATACTAATTTGTGCTGTATTATGCTGTATAACATTAACTGTGAATAGAATTCAAACCAACTCCGAAAGAGGTTCTTGCTCCCGAGTTAATTTTTTTTTAAACTTTGTTCTTCTTCCAATCTAAATCAAATATGGCCACTCCTAATATGTCTTTCCAAATGCCTGGCTGTTTTTTGGACTGTCAAGCCAGGATTTAGACAAATGTATTACTTGCGAGGTAGCTATGTACTTATAAAAAATGGCATTGTAATTAAGGAGTGTTTAGGATATGAAATCATTGCTTTAAATGAAGAACAGACTGCTTAGAATAATAATTTATTCCTATTAAGAATTGTGAGAAATATTCTTCTAAGTAGTTGTGTTTTATACAGATGCAGAACCAGTCCTCTACATGCTTAGATCACTGGAAGTAAAACAGCTGACACCGTTGAGTTGTGTATCTTTCCTGAAAGTTGTCTATTTGCCAACAAAGCCGTTGCAGGGTATTAAAGCTGCAGAACTAAGATTATGTGAAACTTACAATTTTAAATTCCAGCTTTGACATTTAATTAAAATTGTTACACATGAATCAAGTTTTAATATTCTGTATGATAGGGTAGATGAAGCTGTCCTTGTATATTCACTTGAGTTCTTGGGCATAGTTGGCATAGAAGATTAATATTGTAACATTAATAAATATAGAAATGTTCATGACCTCTGGAGTCGAATGAAAATATTTAATCATAAATATCACTTCATAATATAAAT